GACAAAATTTGGGATGAATTTCCGCTTAAACGGCGCAGAACATGCCTTTCCGTCACCGACCGGGATGGAGGAGGGACGGCCCCGGCCCCTCGGTGGGTTTGGGGCTCTTTCGGGGGATTTTGGGAGCGGTTGGGGATGGGAATCACCTAAATGTTGGGAAAATGTCCCTTGAGGGATGCTCCGTGCAAGGAGAGGGGTGTCAATGTCATCCCAACGTCAATGTCAACCCAACGTCAACGTCAGCCCAACATCAACTCAACGTCAGCCCAACGTCATCCCAACATCAATGTCAACCCAACGTCAACGTCAGCCCAACGTCAGCCCAACATCAACTCAACGTCAGCCCAACGTCAGCACAACGTCAACTCAACGTCAGCGTCAAGTCAACATCAGCTCAACGTCATTCCAACATCAACTCAACGTCGGCCCAACGTCAACTCAACGTCAGCCCAACGTCAACTCAACGTCACCATGTGCCTCCACCTCTCCCTTGGGTGTCCCCGGTCCTTATGGGGTCCCTGCACCCCCCTGGGATCCCAGCACCCTCCCATGGGGTCCTTCAACCCCCCTATAGGGTCCCTGTGCCCCCCAACCGGGGTCCCTGATCCCCCCTCTGGGGCCCCTGTCACCCCCTGGGGTCCCAGCACCCCCCTCCATGGGACCAGCGGCTCGTGGAGGGGGGGGTGTGTCAAAATTTGGGATGAATTTCCGCTTAAACGGCGCAGAACATGCCTTTCCGTCACCGACCGGGATGGAGGAGGGACGGCCCCGGCCCCTCGGTGGGTTTGGGGCTCTTTCGGGGGATTTTGGGAGCGGTTGGGGATGGGAATCACCTAAATGTTGGGAAAATGTCCCTTGAGGGATGCTCCGTGCAAGGAGAGGGGTGTCAACGTCATCCCAACGTCAATGTCAACCCAACGTCAACGTCAGCCCAACATCAACTCAACGTCAGCCCAACGTCATCCCAACATCAATGTCAACCCAACGTCAACGTCAGCCCAACGTCAGCCCAACATCAACTCAACGTCAGCCCAACGTCAGCACAACGTCAACTCAACGTCAGCGTCAAGTCAACATCAGCTCAACGTCATTCCAACATCAACTCAACGTCGGCCCAACGTCAACTCAACGTCAGCATCAACTCAACGTCAGCCCAACATCAACCCAATGTCAACTCAACATCAGCCCAATGTCATCCCAACGTCAAGTCAACATCTACCCAATGTTATCGCAACATCAACTCAACGTCAGCCCAACGTCAACCCAACATCAACCCGATGTCAACTCAATGTCTACCCAATGTTATCCCAACGTCAACTCAACGTCAGCCCAATGTTAACTCAACGTCAGCCCAACGTCAACTCAATGTCAGCCCAACATCACCCCAATGTCATCTGTCAAAATTTGGGATGAATTTCCGCTTAAACGGCGCAGAACATGCCTTTCCGTCACCGACCGGGATGGAGGAGGGACGGCCCCGGCCCCTCGGTGGGTTTGGGGCTCTTTCGGGGGATTTTGGGAGCGGTTGGGGATGGGAATCACCTAAATGTTGGGAAAATGTCCCTTGAGGGATGCTCCGTGCAAGGAGAGGGGTGTCAATGTCATCCCAACGTCAATGTCAACCCAACGTCAACGTCAGCCCAACATCAACTCAACGTCAGCCCAACGTCATCCCAACATCAATGTCAACCCAACGTCAACGTCAGCCCAACGTCAGCCCAACATCAACTCAACGTCAGCCCAACGTCAGCACAACGTCAACTCAACGTCAGCGTCAAGTCAACATCAGCTCAACGTCATTCCAACATCAACTCAACGTCGGCCCAACGTCAACTCAACGTCAGCATCAACTCAACGTCAGCCCAACATCAACCCAATGTCAACTCAACATCAGCCCAATGTCATCCCAACGTCAAGTCAACATCTACCCAATGTTATCGCAACATCAACTCAACGTCAGCCCAACGTCAACCCAACATCAACCCGATGTCAACTCAATGTCTACCCAATGTTATCCCAACGTCAACTCAACGTCAGCCCAATGTTAACTCAACGTCAGCCCAACGTCAACTCAATGTCAGCCCAACATCACCCCAATGTCATCCCAATGTCAACTCAACATCTACCCAATGTTATCCCAACATCAACTCAACGTCAGCCCAACGTCAACTCAATGTCAGCCCAACGTCAACCCAAAGTCAACTCAACATCAGCCCAATGTCAACCCATTGTCATCCCAACATCAACTCAACATCTACCCAATGTTATCCCAACATCAACTCAGTGTCAGTCCAACATCAACTCAATGTCTACCCAATGTTATCCCAACATCAACTCAACGTCAGCCCAACGTCAACCCAATGTTATCCCAACATCAACTCAACGTCAGCCCAACGTCAACTCAACATCAGCCCAACATCAACCCAACGTCAACTCAACGTCTACCCAATGTTATCCCAACGTCAACTCAACGTCAGCCCAACGTCAACTCAATGTCAGCCCAATGTCAACCCAATGTCATCCCAACGTCAACTCAACATCTACCCAATGTTATCCCAACATCATCCCAATGTCAGCCCAATGTCAACCCAACGTCAATGTCAACCCAACGTCAACGTCAGCCCAACGTCAGCCCAATGTCAACTCAACGTCAGCATCAACTCAACGTCAGCCCAACATCATTCCAACATCAACTGAACGTCAGGCCAACGTCAACTCAACGTCAACTCAACATCAGCCCAACGTCTACCCAATGTTATCCCAACATCAACACAACGTCAGCCCAACATCAACCCAATGTCAACTCAATGTCAGCCCAACGTCAACTCAATGTCATCCCAACGTCAACTCAACATCTACCCAATGTTATCCCAACATCAACTCAACGTCAGCCCAACATCAACTCAACGTCAGCCCAACGTCAACGTCAACCCAATGTTATCCCAACATCAACTCAATGTCAACCCAACGTCATTCCAACGTCAACTCAACGTCAGCCCAACGTCATTCTAACATCAACCCAACGTCATCCCAATGTCAACTCAACATCATCCTAACGAACCACCGTCCATCCCTTTTTTTGACTTTTTTGGGGGGTGAAACATGCAGAAGGGAGGAGGGAAACATCTACCCAATGTTATCGCAACATCAACTCAACGTCAGCCCAACGTCAACCCAACATCAACCCGATGTCAACTCAATGTCTACCCAATGTTATCCCAACGTCAACTCAACGTCAGCCCAATGTTAACTCAACGTCAGCCCAACGTCAACTCAATGTCAGCCCAACATCACCCCAATGTCATCCCAATGTCAACTCAACATCTACCCAATGTTATCCCAACATCAACTCAACGTCAGCCCAACGTCAACTCAATGTCAGCCCAACGTCAACCCAAAGTCAACTCAACATCAGCCCAATGTCAACCCATTGTCATCCCAACATCAACTCAACATCTACCCAATGTTATCCCAACATCAACTCAGTGTCAGTCCAACATCAACTCAATGTCTACCCAATGTTATCCCAACATCAACTCAACGTCAGCCCAACGTCAACCCAATGTTATCCCAACATCAACTCAACGTCAGCCCAACGTCAACTCAACATCAGCCCAACATCAACCCAACGTCAACTCAACGTCTACCCAATGTTATCCCAACGTCAACTCAACGTCAGCCCAACGTCAACTCAATGTCAGCCCAATGTCAACCCAATGTCATCCCAACGTCAACTCAACATCTACCCAATGTTATCCCAACATCATCCCAATGTCAGCCCAATGTCAACCCAACGTCAATGTCAACCCAACGTCAACGTCAGCCCAACGTCAGCCCAATGTCAACTCAACGTCAGCATCAACTCAACGTCAGCCCAACATCATTCCAACATCAACTGAACGTCAGGCCAACGTCAACTCAACGTCAACTCAACATCAGCCCAACGTCTACCCAATGTTATCCCAACATCAACATCAGCCCAACGTCAACCCAACGTCAACTCAACATCAGCCCAACATCAACCCAACGTCAACTCAACGTCATCCCAACGTCAATGTCAACCCAACATCAACATCAGTCCAACGTCAGCCCAATATCAACTCAACGTCAGCCCAACGTCATTCCAACATCAACTCAACGTCAGGCGAACGTCAACTCAACATCAGCCCAACATCAACCCAACGTCAACTCAACGTCAGCCCGATGTCAACCCAATGTCATCCCAATGTCAACTCAACATCTACCCAATGTTATCCCAACATCATCCCAACGTCAGCCCAATGTCAACCCAATGTCAACCCAATGTCATCCCAACGTCAATATCAACCCAACGTCAACATCAGCCCAATGTCAACTCAACGTCAGCCCAACATCAACCCAATGTCAACTCAATGTCAGCCCAACGTCAACTCAATGTCATCCCAACGTCAACTCAACATCTACCCAATGTTATCCCAACATCAACTCAACGTCAGCCCAACATCAACCCAACGTCAACTCAACGTCAGGCAAACGTCAACACAACATCAACCCAACGTCAACTCAACGTCTACCCAATGTTATCCCAACATCAACTCAACGTCAGCCCAACATCAACCCAACGTCAACCCAATGTTATCCCAACATCAACTCAACATCATCCTAACGAACCACCGTCCATCCCTTTTTTTGACTTTTTTGGGGGGTGAAACATGCAGAAGGGAGGAGGGAATTGATGCCCAAGCCCCGACCACCCTCCCTACAGCGAAGCTTAGGAGTGGAGAATTATTTCCTAAATCCCCTTAGGTGCTCCTGAGGTTTTGGGGCTTTGAAAACTGCAGTTTTGCCTTCCCTTGGGATAAATCAAATCGGTTTGGGATGGGAGCGGGAGAGGCCGGATTTAACGAGGGATTTATTTACAGAGACGCCGCAGACGAAGCAAAACCCTCCCCATCCTCACGTGGCTGGGACGCGATTTAAGGCTCTGACCGGCAAAAAAAGCTCAGTGGGGACGGGGAAAAAAAATAATTGAAGGGAAAGGGGCCACGTCATGGCGTTGCCGGTTTGGGGAGGATTCCCTGCTTTTTGGGTGCTGGAGGTCGATGACTAAAACCTGGCAGGATCCACCCATTTTTTCCCCATCATCCGGAGGGGAAAGGGAAGGAGGGAGGTTGTCCCAGAAGGACGCGCAGGTTCAATCCCTTCGGATTTTCGTTTGAGGAGGCACGTGCAAAGATGAGGTGCAGTTACTGCCACGGAGGCTGCTCACGCCCTCAAATTTACCAATATTCAGCTTTTTGGCTGGAAAAAACCCCACCCGTTCCCAGGCTACAAGGTGCTGGTTCAGCCTTGAACGGGTTGGGGCCGTTGGGTGAAACGAAACCTTCACGTTTAGAAGGGAAGGGACAGCCAAATTTCTCAGCTTTGGGGGAATAACGGGGTTTTTAGAGGAATTGGTGTCATTTTTTTGCTGCTCCGGAGGGATCAGGGCTGATCCCAACGCCTGATCCAGCAAAAGGCAGGGAGAGGGGGATGCTAACACCCGGCTAATTCTTAATATTTTTGGCATTTTGACGCAAAAAAAACCCCTGTTCTTTCTTCCTTTGTACGGTCCCCGTGGGGAGGACAGGAAGGAGAGCGACAGGTCAGAGGGGGGAGAGGCAGAAAAAAAAAAGGCATCGTGTTTGTGTCGAGCAGAGGTTTTGCGGCGCTGGAGGATTCCTGGTATTGCTGTGATTTTCCTTACGGAGCCAAGCAGGGAAATAATCAAGTGAAGAGCCTCCTGCCCGCTGGGATTTGGGTTGTTCCTACCAAACCACATTTTCCTCGCATCCCAGGAGTTTTGGGGAGATCCCAAACCTCCCCAAACCCCAGGGAAAATCAACCCCCAATCCCGAGGGGATCCTGGATGGTGGATTTCCCTACCTCCTCGCCTGGGACGGCGGCGGCGACGCGGGTCCTTCCCTGCCTGGAAAACACCACTGCGCTTAACTGGGCTCTTACTGGGAACCAGAGGGGGAAGGCCTGGAGGTTTAGCTTGGATTTTTATTGGTTTCTTGCTCCCTAAATTCACAGTTTGGACGCCTGCGTGACAGAGGGGGGGCTGGGAAAGGAGAGGGAGGGAAGAGCCGCGGAGAGGGAGGGGGGAGAAGGTGATGGCGGCGAAGGGCTCGGGCCGCATTATCTTTTTGCTCGCACAAAGTACAAGGCATTTGTTTTGGGGTAGTATTTGACGTTTTGTTTCTTGTCCATGAGGCCACCGAATATGATTAATTCCCCTCTGCCTTGCACCACCGTGTGTAAACTGGTTTCGGGGGGTCCCACCACCGAACTGCTGTTGAACACTTTCCATTTGACTCGTCCTTTTTCCTTGGTGTCTTTAATGTCCAGCACGTACATCTGCATGGGTTTGCAGTTCATGCTCTGGTACAAAGGCTTCCCAACGTTGAGGGACTGGGGAGGATGGTGGCCCAGGCGGCGAGCGATGGGAGGTAAGGAATGGCCATCACCTTGGGTAGAGCCCGGCCGCGCCGCCGAGCCCGTCTCGGCACCCGGGGAACCCGGGGAAGAAGCCAAGGGAGGACTCAACGCAGCAGAAGCTGAGGAACCTTTGGAAGAGAGAGCTTTGACAGCTTCCAAGCTCCTCCGGAGCGCTCCGGGAGACACGGCCCCAGGGAGGGAGCCGGCGACGTGGGGCGGCGTGTGGACGCCGTTGGTTTGCTCGGGGGGGTTCCTCAGGCCGAGCGTCCTGCCCTCCACACCGTCCATCTGGCAGACGATGGAAGTTGGTTTCTGTTCCCAATTTAAGTCGACGGATCCCAACCGTAGGTCTTTCTGCTCCGGTAACGATCCCCGGCGCGGGGCCAAGGCGAGCCCCACTTTGAGGTCGTATCCTTCGGCGGCGGACGGCGTGCTGGGCGACACGGCCTGCACGGGGCTGTCCAAGGAGGCGCCGCCGGCCGCCATGGCTCCGGGTGATAAAGTCCCACCGTTGAGGACGGGAGAACTGTCCCCTCTCGCTGGGGACAAGCTGCCTTCCCGGGATCCTGAGGGGGTTTGTCTCTGGGTTCTGGGTCTCAAGGTGCCCCAGCGGCCGTTGACGCAAGGAGCTTCGTCCGTGTTCCTGACGGGAGATTGGGAGCGGTATTCCCGGGTTTCGGGGAGCAGGACGGGCGGCGTGGCGCTGATGGGAGAGGGCCGAGAGTTCAGGCTGGGACTCAAAGGGGCTCTGCCACTGGGAGCTTGGCTAAAGACCACAACGCACTGTCCCACCTGGAAGAGGAGAAGAAGGAGAGATGAGAGGTTGCGAAGGCCGGGATGACTCTTTTGGGGATAAACAGAGGGGTTTGGAGCATTTTGGGCAGGGGATAAAGAGCAGTGGATTTATTTCATAGAATCATAGAATTGCCCAGGCCGGAAGGGACCTCCAAAGGCCATCTAGTCCGACCCCCCCGCAGTCAGCAGGGACACCCCCAACTAGACCAGGTTGCCCAGGGCCTCGTCGAGCCTCTCCTTGAATATCTCCAGGGATGGGGCCTCAACCACCTCCCTGGGCAACCTGTCCCAGTGCTCCACCACCCTCACAGTGAAGAACCCTCTCCTCATCTCCAGTCTAAAGCTGTTCCCCTCCAGCTTGAAGCCATTGCCCCTCGTCCTGTCACTGCAGGCCTTTCTAAACAGGCTCTCCCCAGCCTTCCTGTAGGCTCCCTTCAGGTACTGGAAGGCTGCTATTAGGTCTCCCCGGAGCCTCCTCTTCTCCAGGCTGAACAACCCCAGCTCCCTCAGCCTGTCCTCGGAGCAGAGGTGCTCCATCCCCCTGATCATCCTTGTGGCCCTCCTCTGGACCCTCTCCATCAGGTCCATGTCCTTCTTATATTGAGGGCTCCAGACCTGCACACAATACTCCAGGTGAGGTCTCACCAGAGCAGAGTAAAGTGGCAGAATCCCCTCTCTGGACCTGCTGGCAACGCAGCTTTTGATGCAGCCCAGGATGGGATTGGCCTTCTGGGCTGCAGCTGCCCACTGCCTGCTCATGTCCAGCTTCTCCTCCACCAGCACCCCCAAGTCCCTTTCCTCAGGGCTGCTTTCCAATCCCTCACCCCCCAGTCTGTACTGATGGTGAGGATTGTTCAGGCCCAGGTGCAGAACCTTGCATTTGCTCTTGTTGAACCTCACGAGGTTCACCTGGGCCCACCTCTCCAGCCTGTCCAGGTCCTTTTGGAGACCAGGTCCTTATTTGAGAGAGCGGAGACCCCACCGTATCCATACCCTGCAGGCAGGATGGCACCACAGCTCCGGGGCTCCGTGGTCTTCGTTCTCCACCTTGAGGGGCTGCCAGGTCCAGGGGTTCGCGTGCATGTGGAGTAACCAGGCATCTTTAAACAGCTGTGAAGAGAAATGTGACAGATTCAGGAGCCCAGTTTGAAATTCAGGAGCCCAGTTTGAAATTCAGGAGCCCGGCTTCGCTGCTGAGATCATCCCATCAGAGGTGGGAGCGGCGCTTTGCTGCTGCAGACAAGAGAGATGGTGACCCAGATCTGGATCTGACCACCCCGGAGTGACTACACCCTACCGTGGCCACAGACAAATCCCCTTCGATCTCCATCTTCTACCCCAGCATAAAATCAGGGCTAATTCTTCCGAGGTTCAATTAACCTCCTGAGCTGCTCAGATAGCGCCTGGGGCGCTTTTTTCTTAATTAAAGCAGCCCTAGTAAGAGGTAGATGACTTCTCTGGATTATCTACTGCGTGGGTGCCCAGATTTGCAGGATAAAATGCCCCCTGGGTAAGGTGCAGAGAACCCCCTCTCCCCAGTCCAGCTCCCAGCTACAGGGAGCCGGGTGAAGTCGATGCCCGTGCCCCCCCCCAGGATACTCACTGCATTGGGACCACCGCAGCCACCCAGGATTAAAATGGTTTCGTTGTCTATCACGATCTGGAGAGGACAAAGAAGAGCGTTTCAGACTGGGGAAGGACGTGAGATGGTCCCCCAGAGCTTTCAGTGAGGCCTCCAAGTGCAGGCAGAGCCAGGTCACGGCTTCTCCACTGCCCAGATGCTGCCGGATTTGACCTGCCCCGGGATGAGGAGCGGAGCTGGGGATGAAGAGCCGGTTTTTCTGGACCTGAGGCAAAGTGGGATGTGGGGTTCACCCCACTGCCTTGTCCCAAACGGCTCACAAACCAGTTCCTCTTACAGAAGAGAGCAATTATCCGTCCTAAAGCTGAGCCAAACGGCAAGGGACCCTCTTCAAATAAGGGAGAGGGTGGAAGGATTGACTGGGAGGGCATGTGTGATATCTGTTAGATGCTGGTGGTGGGTGATGCAGTCCCTTAGTCTCCTTTTCCAGTGGATAGAGAGAAAAGAACTTTCAAGCATAATCCATCCAATCTTTTCTGAGTTCCGGTTCTGGTTCTGGTTCTCTGTGATGGAGACACCACTGACCATCTTTCTGGGAACCCTAAAGGGAAGGCAGAGGTGCCAGCTGCGAGGGAGACACCACCAACCGTGTTCCCAGGGACCATAAGAGGAAGGCAGAGGTGCCAGTAGTGCTGGAGACACCACCAACGTGTTGCCAGGGACCATAAAGGGAAGGTTAGGGGTGTCAGCTGTGATGGAGACACCACTGACCATCTTCTTGGGGACCATAAAGGGAAGGCAGAGGTGCCAGCTGCAATGGAGACATCACTAACCATCTTTCTGGGGACCATAAAGGGAAGGTTAGGGGTGCCAGCTGTGATGGAGACACCACTGCCCATCTTCCTGGGGACCATAAAGGGAAGGTTAGGGGTGCCAGCTGTGTTGGACTGTCTTCCCGGGCACCATAAAGGGAAGGCAGAGGTGCCAGCTGTGATGGAAAGACCACTGACCATCTTTCTGTGGACCATAAAGGGAAGGTTAGGAGTGCCAGCTTAACTGGAGACACCCTTGACCATCTTTCTGGGGACCATAAAGGGAAGGCAGAGCTGCCAGCTGTGATGGAGACACCACCAACTGTCTTCCCGGGGACCATAAAGGGAAGGTTAGGGGTGCCAGCTGCAGTGGAGACACCACTGACCATCTTCCTGGGGACCATAAAGGGAAGGTAGGGGTGCCAGCTCCACTGGAGACACCTGCATCAAGCCTGGTGACCCCCATGAGCTCCCTGCCCTGGGCAGGCACTCAAACACATGCTGCTAAACCCGTGCTTCGAGTGGGTTCAACCCAGAGTCGCTTGAGCCGAGGAGCAGGAGAGCGGAGCAACCGAAAGGGCCTGGAGCCAAACCAACTTGTGATAACACCTCATTGATCTCACACGCCACGGGGAAGGATCAGCGGGAGGAACCAGCCGTTTGTTGTCTCCAGATGCTCGTTAGAGCTCTGAGTCATGTGCGAGACACGGCGCGGCACCTGCCCCAGCGCCAGGGAGATTAAAAACGCGCCCTCGGCGAAGGGATGGCTCCGGAAAACACAGGCCCGTCGGGCACAGGATGCAAAGATAACTTGGAAATGGGGCTCTAGCTCCCGGGAGAGCTGCCGAGGGCTGCCTGGAAGCTGGAAATGAAGCGGTGCCTGGTTTATCTCCGGGGAACACAGCGAGGAAAGGAGAGCTCACCTGAGACTGGCCACCCCGCGGGTGAGGGCTGGGCCCGGAGATGTTGGGCTTGGACCAAGCCCACTGCTCGAGATCCAGCACCCAGACGTCGTTGCTCCTACAAGGGTGAGACAACACGTATTGAGGACACAACCAGGCAGTCGAAACGCGGGTTCAGGGTGAATTTTAGGGAAGAGTTGGGTTTTTTGTGGGCCGGAGCCTTGAGGGGATTTGCTGTGAGATGCCAAAGGTGCACTAAGGCAGCCCACAGGCTCCAAAACCCTCCAAGGTTTGAGCAGGCAGTGGGCAGCTGCAGCCCAGAAGGCCAATCCCATCCTGGGCTGCATCAAAAGATGCGTTGCCAGCAGGTCCAGAGAGGGGATTCTGCCACTTTACTCTGCTCTGGTGAGACCTCACCTGGAGTATTGTGTGCAGGTCTGGAGCCCTCAATATAAGAAGGACATGGACCTGATGGAGAGGGTCCAGAGGAGGGCCACAAGGATGATCAGGGGGATGGAGCACCTCTGCTACGAGGACAGGCTGAGGGAGCTGGGGTTGTTCAGCCTGGAGAAGAGGAGGCTCCGGGGAGACCTAATAGCGGCCTTCCAGTACCTGAAGGGAGCTACAGGAAGGCTGGGGAGAGCCTGTTTAGAAAGGCCTGCAGTGACAGGACGAGGGGCAATGGCTTCAAGCTGGAGGGGAACAGATTTAGACTGGAGATGAGGAGAGGGTTCTTCACTGTGAGGGTGGTGGAGCACTGGAACAGGTTGCCCAGGGAGGTGGTTGGGGCCCCTTCCCTGGAGATATTCAAGGAGAGGCTCGACGAGGCCCTGGGCAACCTGGTCTGGTTGGGGGTGTCCCTGCTGACTGCGGGGGGGTCGGACTAGATGACCTTTGGAGGTCCCTTCTGGCCTGGGCAATTCTATGATTCTATGATAAGGTTTCCTTCTGGAACACTATGAGCCATTCTGGGACCACCACAACAGGCTCCTGGCTTCCAGGAGGACCTGCCAGACACCCTCACCCCAGACTTACATTTGCCGAGATCCCAAGGAACCCCCAAAGACAATCATTTTGTCTTCGATGACACAGGAGGAGTGTCCTGCCATGGGAGGGGGGCCGTGGGTGGTCACGATGCAGTTCCACCTGGGGGAAGAGAGGGACATTCAGGAAGGAAAGCGCCGGATGAACAGCAAAACGAAAAATCCCAGGGGCCAGCAAAGTCCTCGAGAACGTTTCAGAGAGGGAAAACCCCAGGGAAAACCTCTAAAGACCCAAATAATAACGCGACTAATTAAAAATACTAATGCGCTCAACATTTTTAAAACATGACAAAGTCACAAGGCCAAGTTGGAAATATCGCCCCTTTCAATTAAGTTCGCCCTGACTTCTTTCCAACGCCGTTTAATTACAGCCTCCTAACGACACTGCCCAACAGTCCATCGGGTAATTGACACTTTTGATGATGAAAAGTTCTCAATGAAAGAGGAGCAGGAACCATCGCTGCTTTGATACAGCATTCGCTCCTTTCTCACACACAAGCATCTCTGAGAAAGCCTGGTCTGAAACCAGCTGAACGGTCTTTTAAAGGAGAAAGGGAAATTCCTGCCATCCCCGTGGTCAGGGCTGGACGCTTTGTTAACAATCCAGGAGCTTTAAAGGCAGAGAGATCACTAAAATGCTGCAAGATTTTTATGGAGTCTCCCTTGGAGGGCCACGGGAGGTTTGGAGTTTCGAACCATCACCGAAAGCAAGACCTCCAGGAGCGAAGGTTTTAGCTCCTCCTTCCCTCAGAAAGGTCCCACCGCTCACGGCCAAATGGATGATGCATTGAAAAGATTCACATTCCTCATTTCCCACCTGGCTAGATGGGAATGCTCCGGGATTTTGGCAGATTTTAGGTAGGAGTCGAGAGCTGGAGGGAAGCAACCACCACCCAAGAGGTGCCAGAGAGCAGCGTGCTCACAGCTCTGCTGTGATCTTGTGTTTTTTGGGGTTTTTTAATCTTGTTTCGGTACAAGACACACCAGGATTAGGCACATCTGGGAAACCAGGACCTTCCCAGGTGGGAGAAACACCCTCCAGCTGCGTTCCAGCCACGTTTCTACAGGCTCAAAGCTTAGGCTTTGAATCTGGATGGGCTCTTACCAGTTTTTGGAGGGTGAGTAGGTGTGGATTTCATCGAAGAACCTCTCTGGCTGGTGCAGAGGGTAAGGGCTCGGCCGCGTCCACCCGCCGAAGAGCACAAGCAAGTCCTTGTAGACCACCAGGGTGGCCCCAGCTTTGGGTGAGGGGTAGGAACCTGGGCAAGGAGAGAGAAGGGGAAGGTTAGGAAACCACATTTCAACTCAGCCACTGGCTTTTCTGAAGTGCGACAACACGGAGACTCCACCTTTTAAAAAAAAAACCACCCAAAAAAACAGCAGAAAAGAAGGCAAAATTAGAGTCGGGAGCCTGGGAAGAAAACTACTGCCAATTTGTGTCGTCGTAATTAGTAGGAGCCTGAAAGCACATCTCATGTATGGCAAAACATCTGTCACTCACTGGCAGGAAATTGCTAGCTTTCTAACGTGTCCCTTGAAATTATTGCTTTAGCACTGAATAAAAGCAATAATTACTTCCAAATACCTAGTGGCTTCTCCCCGGGGAAGGAGGGGGAACCGATACCAACCCCAAGGCATCCGCCGTCGCTCCTGGTGGATCCCTTGGGCACTCACGCACCCAATGCCTATTTTTTTTTTGGCAAAGTGGCACAATTAAACCTTAAACACTTTGCTGTGTGAATTAACAGCCACTCCTGGAGTCTGTGGAACGAAACATTCCTCTGAAAAAACATTTGGAGACTTTTTTTGGGGTTCGAAAGGCTCCACGGGGCGGGGGCAGGGACCTCCTGAGCAGGACTTGGGCAAGCGAGATGATGTGACCTGGACTGGGCATTGGTGAGGCCACACCTGAGGGCTGTGCCCAGTTTTGGGTCCCTCACCACAAAGGAGTCTGTGGAACGAAACATTCCTCTGAAAAAACATTTGGAGACTTTTTTTGGGGTTTGAAAGGCTCCACAGTGCGGGGGCAGGGACCTCCTGAGCAGGACTTGGACAAGCGAGATGATGTGACCTGGACTGGGCATTGGTGAGGTCTCACCTCGAGGGCTGTGTCCAGTTTTGGGTCCCTCACCACAAAAAAAGACATTGAGGGGCTGGAGCGGGTCCAGAGAAGGGCAACGGAGCTGGTGAGGGGTCTGGAGAGCAAGGAGAAGGGTGGGGTGTTCAGTCTGGAGAAGAGGAGGCTGAGGGGAGACCTTCTGGCTCTCTCCAACTCCCTGAAAGGAGGGTGTAGCCAGGGGGGGTCTCTTCTCCCAAGGAACAGGCGATGGGACAAGAGGAAATGGCCTCAAGTTGCACCAGGGGAGGTTCAGATTGGATATTAGGAAAAATAATGGAAAATCATTATTTCCCTTGAGCTGGGGAGCCCAGAACTGGACACTGAACTGGATGAAGATTAAGTTTTCATGAGGAACTTGCTTCACTGAACTCTGAATTGATAAGCTAAATTACATTAACATCTGATACAGAGACATGCATTAGGTTTACTTTTATTTTTTTTTTTGTCAGAGTTAGGCTGATGGTTATTAGGGTCATCCAGCATTGGAATGGGCTGCCCAGAGGAATGGTTGAGGCACCATCATGGAGGTGTTCAAAAGATGGGTTGCCATGGTCCTCAGGAATATGGTTTAATGATTTTTTTATTGCTTATTTACTTTTATTTTTTTTTTTGTCAGAGTTAGGCTGACGGTTGGACTAGATGATCTTTAAGGACCCTTCCAACCTGGACGATTCTACGATTCTTGGTGCCGTGGTGATGTCCCATGCTCGGGAGATGCCAAGTTTGCTGCTCAACCTCCTGCTGCTCCCTTCAAACCCCTCTGGCTGCGAGTGCTGTGTCACCACCTCACCCACGTGTCAGGCACCCAGTTGCTTCCCAGGAAAGGCTAAAGCCAGGGATGACACCTCGGAGCATCCTCCTTCCCATGGTCATCACTGGGGCAGTTTCCTCCACCTCTGCGGTCACACTTTCAAAATAATCCTAAATACATCACCCCCCAAAAAAACCCAGCCGCGCGTGAGGCTGGGGGCAGCTCAAGGACAAGGCCACCCACGTGGCCACAGAAGCACCGTCACCCTCTCCAAAAAAGACCAGGACATCAAACCCCACCTCTGTCCTCCCGTGGCCTAATAAGACTTTGGAGAAATGGTTTGAGGAGGTAATGACGAGCAGACTATTTTTAAAAGAAAACCAGAGTGGGCTATTTTAAGGTGCCGCAGCTGAGAAAAGCAACCGGATGGTGACGGGTTCCAGGTGGTGGGTGGGGAAAAGCCCAGCCAAAAAGCAACCCCCTCTCCCCCAGGCCAGATGCAGAGGAGATGGGCACAGGGTCCTTGAGCCTTTCTCCAGGGACAGATGCTCTCAGGTACACACTTATGGGGGAAAAAGGGAATAAAGTTGTGCAGGAAATAATTCCTTGCTGGGAGGGTGGTGAGAGCCTGGCCCAGGTTGCCCAGAGAAGCTGTGGCTGCCCCATCCCTGGAGGGGTTCAAGGGCAGGTTGGAGGGGGCTTGGAGGGACCTGGTGTGGTGGGAGGTGTCCCTGCCCAGGGCAGGGGGTGGCACTGGGGGGGCTTTAAGGTCCCTTCCCACCCAAACCATTCTATGTCTATTCTATTTTAATTCTTGTGTTGGGGGAACATCTACAGCATGGCCAGAGTTATACCCAAGGTCTCCTTAAAGTTGAGAGTGCCAGAAGAGGGTCACATTTGGTTACTCTTTGTTCCCAAATTCCAGTTTTCCTGGCTCACTCTGCGACTCATTAATTCACACCAGCAGGTCTCCAGCCTAAATATTCCCCCAGCAGAGCGTGAAGCTGCTCTCCCAACCTCGGCATCACAAACTGAGCTGCTAGAAACATCTCAACCTGACCTGCAGAGAATGGGCTGGTTGGGCTTCTCCATTGAGGGTTTCACCGGGATGAACATTTCTGGGTTTAAATCAGGTTATTTTTAAAGAAAAAGGGTTAACGAGAGTCATCCCAGGATGGAGAAATGGGTCTTTGGCTCAGAAAGGTCCGGGATGGTGCAGAGTGAGAAAAGCCACCCTCCTGCTGCTGTAACCTGAAGGTCAACCCCAGCCTCAGACACTGAGATGGTTCCCAAATGAGTCAACGCCGGATAAACAGCCCAGGGCAGAGCCCAGCCCTGGTTTTTCAGGAAGCTTTGCCTGTTACTGGACGTTGTACGGGTGTAAATGAGCGGAGGAGTTTCATTCTGCAACGCAGGAAAAAAAAACAACCATGAATTTTACCAGTCAAAGGAAGAGTTGGCCTCTCAAAGCCTCTTCCAGCCAGAAAGTCGGGAGATCTAGGGATGGGCTCTGCAGAAGAGACCCACCACAAGCTTGTAGTAGCAGAGAGGGTTTGGAAATCTTGTGTTTGAGGAGAAATAAGGTGGCTGAAACCCAGGGAATGAATAGCATTTATCTCCAAAGCAGGGGAGAGAGGGGGGGTGCTGCCACCACCGTCCCCTGGGAAGGGCAGGAGCATCTCCACGCCTGCCCTGGGAAGGCGACGGGAAGCCTTTGTGACTTCAGGTCCCAAGTATGCGGAGGAGTGCAGGGACTGGGGACATCAAAGGGACACGGGCTCAATTACGTGGGGCCCCGTAAGGACCTGCTCAAAGTCCCAGCTCCCGGCGGCGTTTCAAAGGCTCTTGAGGTGGGGAGGGTTTCTTCCTCCCCGGGATCACGTTGACAAACGAAACGGCTCCTGCTCCTCACCACCGGGCTGAAGAACATCATTAGCTAATTGCTTTCAACTGCTCTCCCTCAGCCAGGGCTGATGAAGAGTAGAGAGGACTCTTCCTCGCCAGGTTTTGAAGCTCCACGCCCTGATAACACCATCCAGCCCGATATCAGATTATCTTTCCTCCTCGGGGATAAAAATTGAAGCAGGGGGAAGGTGCAGCACAATTCTGTACCCCTAAACAGAGAAGGGAAGAGCCCTTTCCAGCTGACGCTGCTTATTCAGTCGGGATGAGCAGCTCAGAGCTGGTCCCAGCTATTTTTTTAAAATTTTTTTTCCAGTCGATGGATTTTCCTGGCTCGCGGAGCAGATACATACTTTTCAAAAAAACAAACAAACAAAAGACCTCCGGCTTCCACGGATGTTTGGAAGAGAAATGCCAACCCCTGATGGCTTCTGACACGAGCTTTGGCCGCTCTCTATTTAAGATCTGGCCTCATAAGCATTTTTTAAAGCCCGTTTATTCAGGGCTCTGCTGCGACGGGAGCAGCACACGCGGAGATCAGCGGCCACAAAGGAACAGCCTGGCTCTAAGGGCACGTGTCACACGAAATTTCCAGAGCAGCCTTTTACCTCCGAAAATGAGTTATCAAGCAGAGCTAGAAATAAAAATGAAGCTGGAGGAGGTTGGGGGGAACACAAAATACATAATAATCCCGTGGTGCCCCATTTGATGAGATCACCCAGACGAAAGGATCGGTTCAGCTCGATATCGTTTGGGGAAATATCGTTAAGAGGGATGCGCTGGAGCGGAGCCAGGGGTTTGTACCATTTTGGGGGGAAGGTTAAGAGATGGTAAAGAGTTCTGGGGTTGTACCAGGGGGATAAATTTGGGGGAATTTTATTACAGCAGGCTAAGATTTCTGGAGATCACAGAATCACAGAATCTTCTAGGTTGGAAGGGACCTTAAAGATCATCTTGTCCAACCGTCAACCCAACTGACAAAAATAGACACCCACACAACAAACAAAAAGCAACACCATCACTAAACCATACCTCCCAGAACTACATCAACCTGTCTTTTGAACACCTCCAGGGATGGGGCCTCAACCACCTCCCTGGGCAGCCCATTCCAATGGCTGATAACTCTTTCAGTGAAAAAATTTTTCCTAATATCCAGCCTGAACCTACCCTGGTGCAACTTGAGGCCATTTCCTCTCATCCTGTCGCCTGTGACTTGAGAGATACAGAGCTATTAGAGAGCCAGAGATAGAGAGCTATTAATAATAACTCATTATGGCTCTATCTGATGGATTTTTCAAGCCAGCAAGAGATGATGCTGATCTCCCTAGGACTCCAGCGAGCCGACGGGAGCCATGGCCAACCCCTTCCATTATGTGAAATGCCAGGATCAACAAAACCAGGTCCTCAGCAGCCTTCCCAGTTTTAAAGTTGAGAAATTAAATCGAGCTGGTCGGTCCGGGCAGCCACTCGGATTTCAACGTGCCAAG